AAGAATTCAAAACAAAAAAAAAAAAAAATGAGGAGAGTCTTAGGAACCTCTGGGACAACTTTAAACATTCCAACATCCGAATCGTTAGGGGTGCCAGAAGGAGAAGAGGAAGAGCAAGAAATTGAAAATTTATTTGAAACAATAATGAAGGAGAACTTCCCCAATGTGGCCAAGGAAATAGACTTCCAGGAGATCCTGGAAGCTCAAAGAATCCCAAAGAAGGTGGACCCAAGCACATCATAATTATGTTACCTAAGATTAAAGATAAGGAGACAATCTGAAAAGCAGCAAGAGAAAAGGAGACAGTTACCTACAAAGGATTTCCCATAAGACTATCAGCTGATTTCTCAAAATAAACCTTATAGGCAAGCAGGGGCTGGAAAGAAGTTTCAAAGTCATGAAAGGCAAGGACCTATATCTAAGATCACTCTATCCAGCAAAGCTGTCATTTAGAATATAGAAGGGCAGATAAAGTGCTTCAGGGATAATGAAGTTAAAGGCATTCATCATCACCAAGCCCTTATTATATGAAATGCTAAAGGGGCTTATCTAAGAAAAAGAAGATGATCAAAAACTATGAACGATAAAACAGAGAGGTGGGGGAGGGAGGAGAATGGAGGAAAAGGTACGGGAATAAGCAGCATAAATAGTAGGCACAAAATAGGCAGGGGGAGGTTAAGAATAGCACAGAAGATGAAGTCGAAGAACTTACATGAACAACCAATGGTCATGAACTGAGGGGGTGGGGGATGCTGGGGGATGGGGCAGTGCAGGGTGGAGGGGAAGAAAGGAGAGGAAAAAAATGGGACAAGTGTAATAACATAATCAATAAAACATATATTAAAAATTGATATTTAATTCACATACAATAAAACTCACCCATTTAAATGTACCCTTCAGTAGTTTTTAGTACATTAACAAAGTCATACAACCATCACCACTAGACAAGATATTTTTCATCTGTGTAAGTGAAGGGCTGCATGTAGCCTGGGGTCAAATCAGAGGAGGCAGGAGTTTGTCAGGGAAAGAAATGCACTCCAGGGAAAGGGAGAGCGCATGCAATGGGGCAGAGCTCTGAGATGGCCCAGTCTTTGGAAAACACGTAGAGTGCTTTTGGGTCAGGGGGCACAGACACTGTTTACTGAATGGCAGACACAGAAGAGGTAGCTGGCTCCAGCAGAGAACTGGAGGTGGCCGGTCATGCCAGGGTACTGCGTGCACCTGGCAGCCAGGGTCATGCCCCCCATCCTAGGGGACTGCATTCACAGTGAGGAAGCTGGTTGGGCTATTTTACAAATGAGGAATCTGAAGCTCAGAGAGCTCAATTAACTCAGCTAAGGTCAGACGATTTCTCTTCTGCCAACTCAAGAAAAGGCAGGAAGGAGGTTACCCTACACTCAATCGTTTCCAGGGAGCAGGCAGCCGCTGACACCACCCGCACTCTGTTTTCCCCTCAACCTCCCAGCAAATAAGCATTATTTTCCTTACCACTCCTTATATCACCAAAAAATACTGGCCATAATGACCACTATCATTAGTTGAACAAAAACATTTCCACCATGATTTTGCAGATTCAAAAGTTTATGCTGTCAGAAGTTGCTCCGTCCAGACAGAAGTGTCTTGGTCATGAAAGTCCAAGAGAAAGCCCTAATATTTTGTTGGCTTTTGGCTAGCTAAAATGTGTTTGCTAGTCACGTTTCAAGCCTTCCGTATGACCGTGAAGAAACTGTTCTACTTTCCTAGGCCTCAGTCTTCTGGTCTTCCTACCTGCAAAGTGGCATTAACAAATGTTTCCCCAGCTACCTTACTCCCATTCTGCTGAGAAGAGTCACTGGGAAACCATGAGGATCTGTACTAGCTTTGAAACCCTTGAGGGAAAGGTCCGTTAATACATGTTTAAAAAGCAATATGCCTACTATAAGACTTTCCCCAAAATCTGATGCGAGTTAAAAGTTTACGAAATCTTGGCTTATTTGGTTTAAACTCAGTCCAGATCAAATCTCCCTCTCATCTTTGGAATGGAGGTAAGAGTTAGGAGAACTCAAGATGAAACAGGTAGAAAATAAAGTTTTGTCAGGCAGGGGAAATGGCCTCTTGATTTTTGGTTTTGATTTTGGAGGCTGTCCCTACCCTCTTCTCTACTATAGGAGAAGGAATTGTATGGACACTACAACTCAGACATGTGGTGAAAACTGGTCCTCCATCAATTTACCATTCAAACCCTTCTGCAGCACCACAGTTTGCAAACCACCAGCAGGGTAAAAGACACAAGTTACAGCAAAGAGCAGTTATTTCTCAGGAAAAAAGTTTGAAAGTAACCTGGTGAAACAGGGTAGAAGAGTTTACCAGAAGCCACCCCTGCCAAGAATCCTTAGATGCTTGCTGCCCACTAGAGAACCCATGCGAAAATGTTTGTGGTTTTGCAATAGAACCAAGGAATTGACATATCTGAAAATATTTTACAACGAACACAGTTTTACTAACCTTTCAGAGAAGAATGAGACCAATGATCCCTGCCTCTCTGTTTCTCTTTTAGAACTCTGAATTAGTGGAAATAAAATGGGCAAACACAAAGGTGACCGTACCAAGTAGGGCATTCGTGTGAAAAAAAATCTGATGATAGTTACCTCCCAGTCCGCTGAAATCTATGCTCACATAGTAGTTTTCATTTGTGATTCTCCACTATGTTTTAGTAGGGACGCATCCATACCTAGTTTATTTATTATTTGAGGGAATAATGGCCATTCCCCACTCCAGGAACAGCAAAATCCAATTCTTTCTCTGGAGAGAGGAAATATGTGAATATTTGAGACCAAACCCAGAATTCAAGCAACTGCAAACACCTAGGTGAGAATGAATACATTGTTTTCTTAAATAGTTTGGTAACTATTTAAGGCATCTCCTTCCCCAAAAGAAAATATTTTAAAGATCATGAGTTTCTGGGGGAAAGAAAACCAAAAACCAAAAACCAAGCACTAAAGTGTGTGTCCATTGTGCCTCAACATTCTACTCATTCAGTTGTCATTCCTGTAGCCCTTACAACAATCCTGCCAAGGTTTGGTTTTTTATCCTTTTTTCTGTAGATAAGGAAATTTAGGCTCAGAAATGCTAGAACATTCCAGAATACACAGCTGGGGGCAGAAAGGAGGAGGGCCTAAGTCCTAAGCAGGAAGGCCTTGCACCTGCCAGTGTTTTCCAGACAAGAATCACCTTGAAGGTATTTGTGGAAAATACAAAATCCAGGCTCACAGAATCAGTCTTTAAGGGCCAGAGAACATGTGTGTGTTCTCTCTCTCTCTCTCTCTCTCTCTCTCTCCCCTCCCTCCCCCCCCCCCCCCCCTTAAACAATCTCAAGCAACCGTGCTTCCTCCACTCCCTTTATCAACAAGAAAGCTTGGGAAAAGTAGTACTTCACCATCCAGCCAGGACACTCGAACCTGTTTTAGCTCTACATTTGTAGCTTCATCACGAAGAGACCCCCCCCACAAAAGCCTGAACTCCCCACATTTCTCCTATCAAACTGCCTCTCCTACGGCCCCCCAGAAGTCCAGATCTTGGAATCCTTTTCTGCCCCCTTCACCTCTGAATCCTGCCAATTTTTTTTCTTTCCTGTAATATTTCATTTCCTGGCTGGGACTAGGCTCTAACCAGCAGACTTTCAGCCGGGCCCCGGAACTCGCAACCGGTCTCCAGCCTGTCTGGCTCCTTCCCTAGCCCCTCAGCTAGGGCAGCTCTCATCCCAACCCTGCCTCTTCCGTCGGTCACGTTGTTTCCTCTGCTTGCAAGGACCTCTTTCCTCTCCGGGCCCTTCCCAATGCCCCGGGAACTCCTACACAGCCGGAGCGCCCCGGCTTCCAGCCACCCTTGCCTCCTACCCCTCTGGCTTTGGGACTGAACCCAGCCTTGCAGCGAGCGTCCCTGCTCCCCGCTCGCCTCCCCACCGCCACCTGGCTTCGCAGCGGCCGCTCGAGGAGCCTTAGGCACTTCCCAGAATAGAGAGCAGCTGCTAACGTCAGACTGCAGCCCGCCGCGGGGTTACCGGCGCACCGGGTGCGGGCGGAGTGGATGTGACTTCCATCTCCCCACACGGGCCGGGAAACTGAGGCCCAGGACTAGATAGTTTCCGCGGGATGCAGAGTACGTGAGCGCCCGATCAGTCCCGGGCCCCGAGGGTCCCGACTCCCGCCCGCGATCCCTCGACCACACGCGCCGCGGAGTTGCCCGGGAGAGCTGGGCGGGGAGCGGGTCTCGGAACAAGCGCTCCGCCCGGGAACGCGCAGGGCGCTAGACCCGACTAACTCGCGGCGAGAAAGTTGTCGTCTCCCAGCCTGTCCTCGACTCTCACCTCCGAGACACACCTTCCCGCTGGCCCTGGCAGCCGTGCTCTCACATCCGGTCCACCTTGCGCACACCCCTTTCCACGCTCTCCTACAGCCCCTCTCCCTCCCACGCCTACGGCTCCCAGCCGCTCCCCCGCGCCCCCTCGCGCACTCCCACCCGCGCCCGGGCCGCGCCTTCCCCTCTGCGCCCGCTGGGGTTCTGGCGTTCAGGAGCCCCAGTCCTGGGCCGCGACCCGCTTCCGCCCGCTCAGCGCAGGGCAGAAGCCTGGGGAGGCGCGCGGAGCGCTCGCAGCGCGAGGCAAGGGGCGCACAGCGCGGGGCGGGGAGGGGGCGCTCGCTCGCTCACTCTCAGCTGCGCACACGCCGGTACAAACTCTCACACAGACACAAGCGGGGTGCGCTGCCGCCGCCCGCCGCTGCTCCTCCTCCCGCCACCGCCTTGAGAGGGAGAGAGAGGGAGGCAGAGAGAGCGCTTTGTCCGCGCGCCGCCGCCCGGCCCGGGACTCTGCCCCGAGGAGGGAGCCGCGCTGAGTCCCCGCCTCCGCCTATGCCTCTGCCCCCGGGCGGGCCGGGCGGCCGCGGTGGGGGGAGCCAGGCTGAGGGTGGGGGTGGGTGGCGGGCGGGCGGAGGGCGGGGAGGGGGGGCGGAGGAGGAGGAGGAGAGACGAGGGCAGCGGCGGAGGCGAGGAGCGCCGGGTACCGGGCCGGGGGAGCCGCGGGCTCTCGGGGAAGACACGGATGATGAACAAGCTTTACATCGGGAACCTGAGCCCCGCCGTCACCGCCGACGACCTCCGGCAGCTCTTCGGGGACAGGAAGCTGCCTCTGGCGGGACAGGTCCTGCTCAAGTCCGGCTACGCCTTCGTGGACTACCCCGACCAGAACTGGGCCATCCGCGCCATCGAGACCCTCTCGGGTGAGCACTCGGCGCTGTCCCCCTCCCCCCGCCTCTCCCAGCTCAGGCCGGGACGGCGCCCGGAGGGAGGCCGGGCCCGGCGGGCGGCGCCCGGCGGGGGCTCCCGTGCCCGCATGCTCACTTCCACGCACCAGACCCTCAACTCTGACCGCCGCTCCCCTCCCCCCACAGCTCTGGACTCACCCCTTGCCCTCGGAGCCGGAGCCCTAGGGCGACCCCTGTGCGGCTCCGAGGGTCCCCGAGGCTCGCTCGCTCTCCGGGAGCACCCTCGTTCCCCTGGCTCTCTGAGCTGCTCTCCAGAGTTCCCCCACCCCCATCCTTAGAGAGCCCCGTCCCCCCTCTTCATTGACCTTCCTGTTACCCGCTTTGTCAGGGAACCCCCAAGTCCTGCATCTCCTCGCTTGATCGGACCTTATCCCTTACCGTGCCTCGTGCCCAAGACCTCTCGCCCTCTGGCGTCCCCAGAGCCGCACTCTCCTTTCGAGCCCCCTCCCCACCTAGCCCCTTGGTCCCCCACTTTCGGCACCCCCTGGGCGCCACCCTGATGTCCCCCTCCGAGGTTTCGAGGCTCCCCAAACCCCATCCCCTGTACGACGGCACATCTCTCTCGGTCCTCTCCTGAACCTCAGTTCTTTCTCGCTCGTCTCTCAAGCGCTCCTATTTTTCTCTGAATTTTTTGTCCGATTTTATTGAGAAGAACTCGAGGCTGGGGGCTTTCCGCCGCCTGTCCCCCCGCCTCCCGCTCGGCCAGAAGCACCTTTTTACGAGGTGCCCTGTCTCAACTCGGTGGGGGCCCGGGCTGAGAACCGGGAAAGAGGAGACCGGGGGGCCCCGCGAGCGCGCTGGAGCCCAGACGGGAGACGGAGAGCGACACACACACCCGCGCGCGCGCGCGCGCGCACTCACCAACTCTCCTTCTCGCACACGCACTGCCTGGAGCCGCGCTCGCCCCCAGACCACGAGCCTGCACCCCGAGAACCCCGGCCGGAGCCCCTTCCCCACCAGCGCGCGGAGTGGGGGCGGGGCGGCGGCGAGGCCAAGGTGACACCCAGAAGCCGGCGGGACTAGGCTGTTGCAGCAGCGAAACCCAGGGGGCTTCTGCGCGTCTTCTACGGGCCACGGGGAGGGGAGGGCAAGAAGGGGAGCGCAGAGGAGGCTTCGGGACCCGGGTTAGCGGAATGGAGAGGTGGGGGCCGAGAGAAGCGGGGCCGCGCCAGCCCTGAAGCTTGAGTTTCAAATGAGCTCATCCTTTCAAATTGGCGCCGCTCTTTATTAAATTTGTTTTTCCGGTAATGCCACCCACAGCTATACCTGGGGTCGGATCCGGGCTCACACCCTTTCTTTTCCACTTTGTCCCAAGACTCGGGACTCCTTTCTTTCTTCCCACTGGGAACCAAGTTTGCCCAGCTGGAGCCGGGTAGGAGACCCCTTGAGGGCACCCGAGGGCGGAGCCCGAGCGTGGAGTGCAGTGCGCGCCCCTCCTAGACCCCCGCCGGTTTTATACAAGGAAGGTTCTGAGTGCTTTAATTTCTGTTTTAAAGGTAAAGTGGAATTGCATGGGAAAATCATGGAAGTTGATTACTCAGTCTCTAAAAAGCTCAGGTAAATATATTTTGCTTAGTTATTTTGTGATTGGGTTTACGTATAAGTAAAATAATACACTCAAGTTTCTAAAAATGAGCTTTTGTAGTTTCGTAAAAAGGCTTTTGTTTGTTTTGTTAGTGTAGATAACATAGTTTTAAAAGTTACAGTTTTTTACTTTCATTATATAAGGTGTTTACTGGTCTTGGAAGATAATCTGGTGCCTTACCGGGGTGGGTTGAGGGGGTCGAACACTAGCTGTGTTAAATTCGCAGGGACTGTTTAACTTGTTTATCAAAACTTGCCTCCTACCCCTATCCCAGCACAATGGCAACAAATGCTTGTCAAGACTTCCTGCGAGATGTTAAGAGTAAATATTTACTGTGTCAGCTAAATTGCTTAACTAAACTTTGCTATTAATTAGTTTTCTTTTTTAGATAGCTTAATGTTGAATAATAAAATAATTTAGTGAGGGGTCAATATTTTGCATAGCACTCTAAAGAAAGTGGATTGTTTGGATTGGATGGCAGTTAAAAGCCAGACTTTTGTAGTCCTTGAGACTGCTGAATATTGCTTCTGAGCGTTTTGCTGTTGTTGCTGTTAGGTTTAAGATCTGTTTGAGACTAAACAAATATTACTGTGAAATCTATAGTTATATTTAAGTGCACCGTTGTTAATGAAGGAGCAAGGAGGTTTGTGGAGGCTGGAATTCTGTGATTTGCTTTACGTGAGAAGTATCTGTCCATGAGAAGAGAATGAAGGAGAACATCTTTGTTTTAAAGTTTATTGTGGGCTTTAAATTGGGCCCTTTATTACTCATTCTAGATTTTTTTTCTCCTGTGTGTTGTAACTTAGTTTATATCCCATTAACTTACATTTCTTCACCATTAGTCATTAAGTAGCTGAATTGAAGAGAGACTAAGTGAAGCCTTTGATTTACCTCCTTTAAAAATCTCTGATACTCAGTAGTGTAACCACTTGCAAGAGTTTTTTTGCCAGGATTTGAATAAATTTTAAAACAAACTATCCAAATTTAATAAATACTTAGATATTTTGTTAAAAGGGTTTTAAAAATTGTGTGCACATTTAGGGATATGTGTTAAGTAAGCAACAGAAAATCTTTTGTCTGGAAATTATTCTGTGGCATATCAGAAAATTTAATGCCTTTTTAAAAAGAGGTAAAAGTTATGATTTGTACTTTCATGTACAATATTAAGCTAGTTCTTTTCTCTAGGAAAAGATGCAATTGTAACTGATTTGATTTTCAATTAAGTATTTAAATTTGTATAATTTTCTTTAAATATTTTTTTTTGCTTGGGAAATTCATGTTGTAGCTTTCTGATATCTGAAGTATTTGTTTTAAATTTAAATTAATAATCTTACAACACTTGAAAATTTGAATATATTTATTTAACAAACTTTGAAAGAGCCACTCAAAAATATTTGATGGGCTATGTTTCTATAAATGCTGAATTCTATTGAATATATTCGCTGTTTTGAGTCTTTGGGGGGGGGTTATAATTAGTAAAAATCACTGCTATTTTAACTTTGGTGAGTTGGTGCCTCATTTCATGCTGCAGTATAAGTGAAATCCTAGTTTATCTAAAGTTATTAACATATCTTACAACTTCACACAAACATACTACTTTTTCATTCAGAAGGCAGAGATTATTTGCTGTTAGCTGGAGTGTCATTTAAATAATTTTGTGATGTTTATATAAGAGTTCAGAATGAAGAGCATATCCCAAATTTTTAGTATTAATTGGATAAAGAGCAATCTAGGACTTACACAGCCCTATTAGTCCGTGATTTCTTTGAACATGTGGGCGATATGAAATACCTAGGAAGCAGACTAAATGCGCTGTGCATGATTCACTGCACTGAAGATGTCTGACATACCAAATGTATGCATAAGCTGTTGCTGTAGGGGGTTACATCATTTCTCATTGGATGGTTTTAATCCTTTTTTCCCTTTCCTTTATGAGTTTAAAATGCAGAAATTAGTTACTTGCACTGCGGGCTAAGGGAGAGAGAGCTAATGACTAGTGGTGTGTCCTGAGCTCAGGCTCGTGGGATGCAGCAGCTTTATGTTCTCCTGTGCAGGGCACCACCACCGTGGTGGCTCTCAGAAAGCAGGGTACTGTGACATGTGAAACCAAAGGTTTTATGTTCTATGGTGTCTATTTTGGTGTTCATTTGTTGAGTGTCTATGAAAATTAACAACTTAACAGTAAATTTGTCAGTGTGAAGTCAGTTCTATATGTGGTTTTTGTGTTAGTTGAAGTGAAATGTGAAGAAAATTTATCTTCATTGCTGGCTTACTTAAGTGATCAATTGAGTGCTTGTTTTCTTTATATTCTGATTTCTTTGTGTTCTCAAGAATCAATTTCAATATCTATATTCCAAATAGATTATTTTTAAAGCTAATGATACTTTGGAAGGAGATGTTTTTATCTTAAGTTATGAAATTGTTGGCATGCCATTTGTGTACCAATTGGATCTTTTGTTAAATTATCATTTCTAGCATCATTTTATATGTGCTATTATAGTAGACAGACTGGATGCCATTGTTTTCTCAGGTCACTCAGAAATAGAAAACTCTTCTTTTTGCCACATGTGTTTCATTCTTATTAAATCCAAATTATTATAATGTAAGCCATCTATTTCTTTTACTTTCTAAGTTGGTTTCAGGCTCTGTTGAATACAAATCTTTGGATCTTTTTTCTGTATTCATATTTCTTGGTAGTGTATATAGAACAAAGATTTCTTAATGAGGAATAAACTGGTAAGGTCTTTAAAGTTCTGTTGAAAGTTATAGAAATTTCCTTGATAGAAATTTCATTTTTGATGATGAGAGTTTAGTTTTGTACGTATGTAGATATGTGTACCTACTCCTCTCTCTCTCTCTCTCTCTCTCTCTCTCTCTCTCTCTCTCTCTCTCCCCCTGCATAAATTGTTTTGAGCTAAGACATTCACTAACCTGAATGTGCTTTGTAGCTAAAGTTGAATGATTCTGTGAGTAACAAAACTTTGAAAAATGCAATTTCGGCCCACTTCTAGGAAGTAACTAAGTGGTGCTAGACATGCTTTCACTAAGATGGTGTGAATACTATGAGGTAGTGTAGGAAAAAGCTATGAATTTGTCTTTCATGACTTAAAAATCAGTAATTGTGTTCTCTCCAATGCAAATGAATTTGGTCTCCTATAGGAATGTTAAAGAAAACAGTATCTCAATTGTATTTTGCTTGTATGTACTACATTGTGTATAGTTGAATTAAATACCAAAAAGGAAAAAAAAAACACCACCACCCAACCTCAAGCCTTCCCTGTAACAAAGGCTTTTGCTACAACAATTTTTAATTTTGTAGCAACAGAAAAGACTTTAAGAGGTTAAAATTATATGGTAGTTTCCTATAGCAAAAATTTGTTGAATTAGAAATTAATGCCTGAATTTAATTATATAGGTTCCATGTATGGATATACCATATATTTAGGTAAAATTTATATCAAAACTGTCAGGTTATTTTTGATTTGGTTTTGAGTTGGATATTTAACTTCCCATTTTAAAAAAGACTAATAATTTCTTTCATGTGTTTCTAGGTAGTGTCAGAGAGAATTACACATTTTTGTGACCTTTAAGAGATAACTATTAAAATTAAAATAGAAACAGTAAATAAAAAATTACTTGATAATTCAAGTAATAGCAGAGGTTTAAAATTCCACTTTATGTTTTTAAATGACTGGTTATTAGATGTTTTTACATTATTTAGTTAAATATTAAAAACCATTGAAATCTACAAATAAAAATAGATTTTATATACTGCCTGATTTTTCAATTTTCCATGTTCATATCAATTTTAAACTATATTATAGCAATTTATAAAAGTATTAAATGACTAAACACCTAAACATTAATTCTAAAAGGTGATTTGGTGGTATATAGTACACTTGCCAAATTGTGTTTTCAAAAATAGTATTATTTTTTGTAATTATGCCTGAGTATAAGATGACTGGTAAAGTATGGTCTGAGTTCTTTTTTATGTTATCCTGCTATTATCATTTACATAGAGAAGATGAGAGATTAGAAGTATTTGTTCAACACTTTTTATACATAATAATGATCTGAAGTGTAATATCCAAGAAGAAGAAAAATTTTAAAGGACATTAGAAAACATAACTAATTGCATATCAAAATTAACATTTCACTATTGTTTTGTGGAAATGTTTATTTTTATGGAGGTTGCTCTGATTTTTACACTGGAGGATGTGAATAATGTTGAAGTGTACATAAAAAGGAAAGCAACTTGGGCACATTTATTAAAAGTCAACAAAGCTATGAAAGTCAGATTTCTTCAGGAACTATTTATACATATTTGATACTTTTCAACTTTATAAGTATTTGCTGTCAACTGCTGAATCACTCTTCCAAGTCTGCTAATGAAATCCTCAAAAGTAGATGAGCAATGGGCCAGAGTTGTTAGAGGATATTATTTGAGCTAAATGTGTCATCTCTGTGATTCAGTGGGGTGTGTGCACATGGGGGGGTGTGTGTGTGTGTGTGTGTGTGTGTGTGTGTGTGTGTGTGTTGTGGGGAACAGTAGTTTCAGACAAATGGTATTAAGAGGGAAGAGGAGGAAATCTTTAATTGAGCAACAACTGCTCTGGATTTTAGTCCTGAAAAGGCAGATGAAAATCAATAGGTGTTTGAACCTTGCGGCAAAGGGAATCAAATCTGATGATGCATGCTCTGAGTGATGCATAATTTGTAGGAGGTATAAACATCATGGAAGCCAGGGCCCTGGCACTTTGGTGGCTTCTTGAGTGAGCACGCTGCTGGAAGGACCATCCAATGCAAAATGTACTCTCCTCCCTTTTTGCTTGGGTGTCCCCTCTCATTAATAGAGTTAGCCAAATGAGCCTGTGAAGGCTCTGATAATCTGTAAGCCATTTTTTGAGTGTTAGAAAATTCAAGATTTGAATGTACATTTTTATTTAGAAATTCTGCGCTGGGGAAGGCAAAA